TACCCAAGGCAATGTAAGCGGATGTGTCTTCTGTGGGGAAGGAGGGAGAGACAGATCCTTTACATTGCATTGAAATTGATGGTGAGCACCCAGGGAACATGGCATAAGAAAAAAAAGAGAAGAGAGAATGAAACTTCAGGCATGAAACATCAGTATCTCTCTGTAGTTATATTTACAGTCTAGAAAGTTAATGTCACGGTGATATAATATTATGAGGTTTTATGCCTTTATGCAAATCTTAAGCTATGCTGGGACTCCAAAAATCTTGGATACAGCATACATAACCTGATCTGAAAGATGCAAAGCTCCTGGGGAAAGCTCCTAAAGATTTCAATAAACTTGAGATTACTGCTATTTCCCTCAGTTTCTCCACAACAAAAACAAATAAACAAGAAAGGTCAGTATATCTAAAACTCCCAAGTATCTGAGAGTCAGCACAGAAATAGAACCATCAACTTTCTCATTTGTCTTGGTTTTAGATACAACATAAGATTGGGCAGAGAAGAGATGAAGGAATGGAATGATAATTCTGTAATAGTAATTTTGGATACAAGTTTGAATAATTTTGGAGTAATTTTGATGTCAAACTGACAGCTGACTTGCAACAAGCTCAAGCAGCTGTAAGCATGTACGAAAGCAAATTCATTAGGAAAACCCCACTGCCCCAGAAAAGATGTCTGAACGTCACAGGATACAAATAAAATCTTAATATAAGCTCATCCTTTCTGGATGCGAGTTGAAGACTTACTGAAGATGAGACAGTCAAAAACCTACAGCAAAACAAAATACCCACCCATGTTTTCAGCAGTGTCAGGAGCTTTTGACTTACAAGAGTTAAAGTCAAATTTGCACTTTGTGTCTTTCTAAATCTACTACTACTAAACTACTTTCTAAACCCACAACACACTTAGATTAATCTCAAAACCACTCAAGGTGGAACCCTCCTAACATAACAGGAACAAAAACCAGAACGAGGTGATGAGCCCTGACTTCAGGACAGCAGTTCTGGGAACTCACGCACAGCTCATTTTTTACTGCTCAAAGCTAAAAGTTGCTTTCTGACAAAATTATTACCTTGGGCGCCAAGATATGACTGTGCTACTCTTCAGAAAAGGGGCAGATCCTGCCTGACACCAAGTACTTCAAACCACTGTCCTCCCCCCTCATATGCTGTGCAAATCAAGAGGCAAAGTATTCACCCCTTCCCATGGTTGGCCTCAGCCACTTCCTCTTTAAAAGCAGATTCTGAAAAGTCTACTTTGAAAATAAACCTTTAGAAAAGCCAGCTGATATTTTTTTTTTCCAATTGCAAAAAAACTGCAAAGGCACCACTGGGTACCGCATTATCCCATAAAGATGTCAGCTTTTTAGTTATTGCAGCTCTAAAGAGAAGGAACAAACAATAGAGCGCTTCCTTATATGTACACCAGCTCTGCACTGGTGTCAGAGACCATTTCCCCAAATGGTCAAAAAATTGACGCAGCTCCACTGTGGTTTTTGAAAGAGAACTGCTTTAAAGCACACATCCCATCGCGATCCAAATGAAGCTAAAGCTTACAGTGATACCTACAAGGCTTCCCGGCATTGGCATCAGCATATTGCACCATTTACTTAGTTTATAAGGATATTTTGACAGTACAGCTTTCTGCAACACAGTAAGGTTCCTACCCTGACTTTGCTAAACTGAACCAACAAAACTTTTGTGCCAAACTGCACTCTGTGATGACACTTAAGCATCTCTCTGCAAATGTTGGCTGCTGCAATTTAGAGACTCCATGCAAACACAGGAAGGGAGGTCAGGGGCCGTAATCCACTCCCCTTTCATTGCTGCATAAAGACCCGACCATTGCAGAGACTGAACACAGCCTTTTGCTCCGTGGTCCTACCATCAAAAAAGGAGATGGCAGGAAACAAAGCTAAACACTCTGCTCTCTCCGAGATCAGCTACCAGGCTGGCTGGCTGCACAGATGATTGAGCCCATATTGGCCACAGGAGTGGCACAGAAGGCATACGCCTTCTGCATATCAAACCTGAGCCCATCCTACAGAAGGAGTTTGGACCTAGGTGCAAGATACCCATGCTGCACATCCAGCCCCGTCCCCAAGCACACACCTGGGGCCCTTTGTAAAACAGTCCTGGAGAAATAAGGAGGAAAGTAACTCTTAATTTGTTTCTCTGCCATTACCCTGGTTACTGAATCCTAGCAAACTGTAATGCCAAGAGTTATCCCTTAGGCAAGGCCATGTTAAGTGCTGGTAGCTGGCAGCTCTGTCACAGCTTACTGCTGCAGTTCTCAAAGGCTACGATGACTGAAAGATTGAGAGATGCGAGCATTTCAGAGCCTCATACAGTTCAGCATTAGGTGCATTACGTAATTGCAGCTATATATTCTTTTGATTGCATGTGTCATTGTGATCACTGCAGAATTCCATTACTCTATAATGCATGATGCAAAAAGTAGCTCTAGTGTCTGCTCATATTTGCAGGTACAAGCTAAAGTAGCCAAGGTGTCAATCTCAAGCTGAAGAAATGAGGACAACTGATCCCTTTGCTTGAAGAGCACCTTGTTCCGCCAAAGTGAATAGCACTGGCTCTGAACAGAGCCAAATTGTCTGCTTTTCTGGCCAGACAGATTTTTGGGAGCTTTTGGGAGTAGGAGTGCAGCAGCCAAGCCATAAGGGGCAAGAGAAATCAGAACCGCTGCAATAGAAGGAGAAGGTAAAAGTTATCATACTGCTTCATTTGAAGCTGAGCAGTTTCTGTATCTCCGTGGAGCGAGTTGGCGAGAGCTGTCCGCAACAGCAGTGCTCAGTTAAACAATATCCTATTCTGCACTTGGGAGTTGTGTAAGAGCCGTCCCAGTCACACGGGCAGAGGGAAGCAGAGAAAGGGCATTATTCACAGCCTGACATGGATGAACCCAGTTTAACACACGCACTTGGAAAACACTGTTCTCTCTGTTCAGTAATATTATTTCACATTCCACTCATTTTGATAACCTTTTCCTTCTCCATCTACCCTGCTGACTGACTGGAAAGCCGACTAATGCCTTCTCCTGAGATTAGCCAACACACAACTGCAACAGATTTATCCCTACCCCCCACTTCCCCCCAAGATACCACTGAGCCTCATCTTGCAATAAATAATTTACAAATACATAACACAAAAAGCTAGAGAAATTTAGAAGCGAAGCCCCCTCTG